CTAGGGGATCAAACCGGCTACTTGCAACCTTCTCAAGGCACATGCACACTGCTCTAACCCACTAGGCCAACACTCTCCAGTTGCTTCCTGTATGGAAGTAACCAGAATATTAAAGCGGAATAAAGAGAAACAGGTTTACAGCATTCACACAAGATCAGCCTTTAAATTATTTTAAAAGTGTCTTAGTTGAATGGCACTAGCTCATGAAAACGATAGCTGATTTTAAGGGTTTTAAAACATCCCTATCAGGCTGACAAAAAAATAGCATTTTGTGAAAGTCTATTTAACGTACATATACAGTAGTAAAACATTTCCTGTATGTTGTAAAACTGATCCAATGCCACACGTTTTGCTTTAGTATTTATTAGTAGTGTTTGCTTGTTAAGTGGCTGCATAAATGTTGTTAAACATCAGAATTTTGTGAAATAAATCATCTTGTCTGGAGGGAAGCTCTTCTTATCGTTTAGTAAAAAGAATCCCCAGCGAGAGCCAAATGAGCCGAGTGATGCCCCTGCTTGTTGGTGTGATGGAGGGAAAATGGAGCTTAGCTCAGGAATTCAGTTTTCTTTTTGAGATAAATACAAACCGCCGGCTACACAACCTTTTGTTCATGTTTACAGTGCAGGGATAATCCTGTTGGGTCTCCATTCACCTCGTCAGGGTTTATGTACTATAATGACCAGCTCACTGTTCGTAATCCTGTTTATTACACATTTCAATGACATAAATGAGCTTCTGTACTTTCCTTTATTAGTTAAATCAATTATTCCTTGAGCTTTCTCCGGCATCGGTTTCTAATCTAACCTGGAGATCAGAGCCGAATTTTCCCTTCCTGATAATTGTAACTGTTTCACCTTCATCACTGCTGCTCCTCCTCTCCAGCAGCACTGCAGTGCTTTGCATGTTTATTACACAAATGCTGCTTGAGGCCTGAGCTCAGGAGAGCAGCAGCAGCTCTGTCTGTTTCTGTAGGATCATCAAACCAAAACGCTGTGGTTTCAGAGCCACGAGGAGGTTCTTTCTTTTAAGAATTCCTTCTCTTTATGTCCCGATGCCTTAGAAAGAGAGATATCTTAGAAAGTCCCCAGTTTTGTTCTCGTGAGACGTTTTTCTTGAGTTTCAGCTCACTCTCTAGAAACTAAGGTCAGAATGAATGTCAGTGAAAACCAGTCTGGCATCTTTATTAGATGCTTTCTCCTGAGTGTCCATGCTCTAAGAGACTTCTGGACTGCTTCTGCTGCTCTGTAAGAAGAAATTGTCATATTGAATTAAATGCACATCGCTGCAGAAGACAGCTAAAGGCGACCAATAATGATTTAATCACTTACGGCTGGCTCCAAATTGAAGAGGGACATTGTGAGCAGAGGTGAGGCATCAGTCAGAGTTATTTATCGGATTATTGAATCAGACAGAAAAACAATGTTCTTGAATCAGAGCAGTAACAAGTCTTGGCACTTCAATAATAAAATATATAGCTGAGACAAAATGTTTATACCTAAAGCTGTTACTTAACTCTTGTTGAATCGAAATAGGATTTTAATGTACAGTTAGGGGATAAAAATAACCGCCATTCGTAGAAGAGTTGCTAATTAACTTCTCTCAACTAACTGATTATCATCAATTTGACTTCTTTTATAGAAGCCTTCAGTGATTTAGCTGTCTGGGCTTCGGTTTCCAATGAGTCAAGGTGGAAAGACTTTAGCAATGACCAGTGAAGCTCAGTAGCTGCTGCTCATTAGAGTGGAGTTAAACAAAAGTCCATAGTTCTACAGAAAGGTGGATTATTCATGACTTGGAAAACATTTTGGTAAACTGCCCTGATGTCAGACTTTATGCCCAGGAAAATACAAAAACTGCAAAATAACAAGCTCAAGCTCCTCAGATACATTTCATAACATGTATGAAATGTATGTTTAAGAAACATCAGAGCAGACTCTTCCTGCTGAGGAGGCTGAGGTCTGTTGGAGTGCAGGGGGAGCTCCTAAAGACCTCCTATGACTCTGATGTGGCATCATCTTCTAGGGAGCTATTGGAGCAGTAGCTTATCTGTAGCTGAGAGAAAGTGGCTGGATAAGCTGATCAGGAAGGCCAGCTCTGTGATTGGATGCCATCTGGACTCAGTGCAGGAGGTGGGAAACAAAAGGATCCTAACTATAATAACATCTCTGTTGGATAATGTCTTCCACCCCATGCATGAAGCTGTTGCAGAACCGGAGAGATCCTTGAGTGACAGACTGCTGCGTCCTAAATGCACTTAAATGATCCTTCCTCCCAGCAGACTCTATAACCATCTCTGCTCCAAACAATCCCAATAAGTTGTTAAATTTATAACGATTTTGCACAGTTTCTACCTTATTCAGTTTAATAATGCTGCTGTCATTTTGCACATCTCTGATGACATTGATATTTTCAAATAACCATTAATCTGAAAATGTCCATAGCTGTATATTGGTTATATGTTCTACAGGCGCATAGTTTTGATATTGTTAAAACACTTTACAGTAAAGTATTTTATTGTTTTCTTAAAAACAGTATGACCTTACACAGCTTCATTGAAAATACTTTGTGCCATGTGTTAAGTAGAGGATGAATTATTTTCTGGGCCATATCACATGGGCATTATACAGTCATTCAGTAAACCACACATTCTTTTGTAGACTAAAACATTTTAATCATCCTCTAAATGAGCCCAAACACAAGAAATCTTTAGCAAAATGGACAAAAAATGAAATAAAACTGAGGTGCTTCAAAGCCCTAGTTAAAGTACAGACCCCACCCTAGTGGACATGAATGTTTTTCGATGTACCGGTATCTCTGCTCCAACCCTGCTGAATGAAATGACAGAAGCACATTCTCAGCTAACTGCAGCCTGTCAGCTGTTTGACAGCAGGATAATAGAACCAAAGCGCTGAGATTATAAAGAAAAGTGACATTAAAGCTACAGAATGATGTTAGACTAAGAGCGATGAAAACATTCTTCGTAACTGAATCATTAATATAATTTCAAGCAGAATTAGAACATGGGGTTCCATAATGAACTGGATCTGTCTAGCAAAGCATTTTGGGAAAACACTAAGCCGATTGGTAAGTTAGTTCTCAAGTTATCCTCTGTGTCTGGCTGCTAGGGTTGCCAACCGTCCCTCTAAAAACGTAATCGTTTGGTATTAAGAAATAGAAGTGCTGCACCTGTCCCGTATTTAGTGGAAAAGGAACGCACTTTGTCACATATCAATGTGAGAGTAGAAATAAAATAGTCAATAAAAAGCTAATGGAACATCAAGAACAAGGGCACATTCCCGGGCCCTGTCCTGCGTTGTCACAGATGAGCTGACAGCATATATGCAACAATCCAGAATACCCTCATCCCATTGGTGAAACCAAGTGTTGCTCACCGAGAAGATAGCGGGAGACAACAGAGCAGCAGCATTCGTGGAAAAAACAGACTATACATAAAGCGGCATTGAGCTGTATGAGATGAGAGGAACAGAAAACGAAGGGCATAACAGCAAAAAGAAGACAACATATAACCAAAGTAAACTTCAAGAGCAGCGGGAATCCTTTCCATGTGTGTTAGAGTCAGAACCTATGGTTACAACACAATATTAATCTTTAGCTGCAGGATAGTGTTAAGGATTAATG